TATATATGGCCGGCCTTATCTTGTTAGATGTTACAGATTACTGTAATCCTGTTACCTGCTGTCACCTCCTGTTTTCTAACTGTGACCATGACCTTGCACACATAAGGACACTGGCACGCATTAGGTCAAAGTTATGCAAGGCTTTTTAGCTGTAAATGTGCGAAGTGAACAGTTTTGGTTAAATGACTTCAAACTCAGATATGTGATGCAAGCACTCCTGGGCTATACTGATTGAATAGATGGGAAATATAAAAGAATGTAGAGCACAAATTCTTTTTCTCTTGTGTTAGAAAGCTCTTGCTGTCGGGCGTCAAGGAAACACAGTATAGAATTTGATACGGTAAGTTATTCTTTTGAACCTGACAGGATGTGACCGAGGAGAGAAAAGTGTGTATCGTCGAATAGAGTGTGATGTTCATTGAGCTTGATTGGGGAGGGCAGCTCGAGGGGAGGAGAGGGATCTGAGTGGCTGGGTGTGTCAGAGGAAAGGTGTCGCCGCGGTGATTGGGTTTTGACTGACAGCTGCGGGGGCAACCTGTATCTGATTTGATTGGACACTAGCTCATCCACAAGCGGCGGTGCACATAACTGAGCACGCTCCCCCCCGTCTCGTGCACGAACACGCACACACACACTGGCTTTCTCTTGTTTGCTCTCCTTCTCTCTGTCTTAGTCATTCGCTGCTTGTCACCAAATCTTTCTGTCTCCTCTCCGCCCACGCTTTTCTTCGCTTCCCTCTACCTCTCCCTCTCCTGTCGGTTTGTTTTCTTTCCCTCTCTACCTCTCCTTCCCTTGTCATTTTTTTGCAGTGATCTCACAGCTTCTCTCTTCTCTATACCCTTGTTTTTTTTACATAGAGCCTCTGCCACTCAGCGTACACTTTTATCTCCAGCCTCTCTGTGTGCTATGAGTTAAGTACATTTCTAGAATGGGTGATCCCAGTGGGAGCTGAACTTTGAACCCTCGCACTGTCAGGGCCATTTTGAACTACAGAGAACCATTTATTACCACAGAGCATGATTATGTCTTTTAAAGAACATACATAATTTAATGGATGCTTTCATCCAGAGTGTCTAATTGTATCACAAATAATCAGATTTCCAGCATAGGTGGTCCCCGTGGGAATTGACCCGCGGGCACACTGTTCTAGCCTTGCTTTTCTCCCGTCTATAATTTATCGACTCCCTTGCTGCCTTTTAAAGCATGCTCATGCGATGACAGTCACCTCCTCCTGCCCCGCCCCCTATCTGTTCCACCTGCCAATCAAACTAACCGGCTAGTCTTATTCCTAGCCACTCCTGTGATGAGCTGACAGGGGGGAGAGAGAGAGGGGGGGGGGGGAGAGGGGAGGGGGTGGTGACAGGGGAGCAGAGCAAGAGGAAGAGGAGGAGGGATGGGGGAGTTTAGAGGGAAAAGGTGTGAGGAGAGATAGAGGAGAGTTATAGGAAAGGACGGGGCGAGGAGGAGGGTAAAGAGGCATCGTGACAAGACAGAGAGGAGCGAACGAGCCGTGAGTGACACGGCGGCGGAGAGATACCCGATGATGGAGGGAGGCAGGGAGGGGAGGACAGGGGGAGGAGGAGGGGAGGAGAATGGATCGATAGGGCTGGTTGGCTGAAGGTTCATCTATAATGCAGAAAGGCCAGGGGAAAGAATGTATTTGTGTGGGCAGGATTTAAGACGGAGGTTGCAGTTTGTTTCCGTGTATGTTTCTGTGAGTATCAGAAATATTGTGTACACACTGTATCAGTGAACACATGAGAGCTTGTACAAGTGGATGTTTTTCGCTAACTGCACCCATGTGTGTTTATGTACGTGTTTGGACAACAGACTACTTGCATGAGAAGATGTCAGAAATTAAACATTCTAGTGTGTGATTGCTTATAAGTGTGTGCAGCTGTCAGTGCTGCTACTTGCGTATGTATCCTATAGATGTGTGTGCGTGCATTTTTATTGATTTTCTTTTGGTGTTTTGTCTTCACAGACCTGTAGTGTAATTGACATCTTTTCATTGACTGAATGTGGATGTTTTTACATGTGTAACTGCTTTTTCATATGTTGTTCTGAAGTGCCTACATGACCCAGGTGAAAGCTTTGACTGGGACAAAGACAGCAGCACCCAATCTGCTCTGTGATTAGAGTAAGGGCCTCCATCAGTGCATGCCAAATTCCTATGTTAGAGAAAGTATCAGCTTGATATAAATGACAACCCTTTGGGTTATGTACTCAAATGTACTAGACATCAGAATAACACTAGGAACTCACACCTGGTCCAAGTCATGGAGGTGAGAGATGACAAGCACTGGCTGAGAAGAGACAATAAAAAGGCTAGTAGCACTATAAAAGACAGACAGTACATAAACCTTGAATTAACTGTCCATCCGGAACTGTTGTCACCAGAAAAATGGCAGCATCGGTCATATGTTCAAATACTCAAAAATACTAACCATGCGTGGTCCTGACAATAAGCAAAGTTGGAAGTGGAGTGATGTTATAACATGTCATAAAAGTGTCTGACCTTGACATCAGACACAGTGGCGCCCACTGCTAGCAGCTAGTTAGCTTCTTCCAACAATGACCACTATCTTGCCCACTTCACCAGACCGTGACCACGGAGGCAGTCAGGAAAAACTAGTTATATAAGTAGTTTTAGAAGGCACAGACAGTAACTTTCTGTATTTGACGTATGAGGATATGTTGGTCACTTCACTGAAGCGCATTTGAGAATTACATTTGCAAGGTTAATCATACAGATATGCCACATGAACCACTCTTGTGCTGGTGTGGCTCTGGCATACAGAATGTACCACATGTACTGAAGTAGTCCTCCTACTCTTGTAAAATGTGGGCATAACTCAAGTTATCTTAATCCACGACTTATTGGCAAAGTGAGGAAACCCTTAGTTATGTTGCAAACTGCCCGCAAATATTGGACCAAGACCATGTTATGGTAATTTTAAATGATTTGAAGTTCTGTTTTCATTTTAGGACTGAAATGAGCTTTATATGACATTCAGAACATTATATAGTATTTGCTATGTAAAGATTAAGGCTGGGCCTAAAAGATATACAATACCAGTACCCTTAAAGTGATAGCAATACTAATAGAGTGCTTCATTTGATATTTTTTCCTGCTTCGTTCGACACCCATTTTGTGAATGGAAGCACTCTGTTGCATAAAATGCCGATATACTTTCAAAAGTTTTGGTGCCATCTTGGCACGTTAAACTGCCAACTCTGTCAAATACACCGTGTTGACTTGACTTGATACACCACACCACAGACTGTATGGATTGTAACTGCTGTGGTAGTGGGCCAAACACACATCACATGAAACTGAGGAATGGTTGCGGTGATTGGCTGTGAGTAATACCCTACGTATAGTAGTTCTTTTCTAGATCTGGGTCCAAAAAGGATCAAATACAGGTATCTTTTGACTGGAGAAGTTGCGATACTACTTGGTACTGACTTATTTAGTTTGATACCTTAAAGATATTGAGTACCAATATCAAGCCCTTGTAGAGAATGAAGTCACACTATCTCTGTGTGTGTGTTGTAATCTGAGCTTTTCTATTCTTCATTGTGATAGCTGGTTTGGTTGTGCGTGCATGATAGTGCATGTGTGTCCCTGTGTGTGTACACCACCAGCAAGCTAATCGTCGCCACTCTGCACTGTGCTCATACCATGATCGCCCAAACGCAACATTAACTTAACTGAAGCGTGACACCGACCCTCTGGTTACCCCCAAAGTTAACATGTAGCTTTGTCAGCACTGTTGCTGTTAGCACTGTTTGTGCTGGTAGCACCGATAGCTGCTAACTGCTGGCTCAGCCACCTTCATGTTGAGAGCTGTGAGCAGGCAACCCCACCCCAGTCACCGCATCATAGATGAACTCTGCTTTGACTGTTGTATAGAACTCCTTTAAAGTTGTATTTGATATTATTGTCCTGTTATATTGAAGTCAAAGAGCTCACCAATAACTGTGACCGTTTGGTGACTGTGTTTGTGTTAAAGGCTGCGCATGGTGTCTAGATCAGATTAAATCAGTGAGTGTGTGTGTGTGTGTGTACCAGTGTGTATGCATGAATATGGGCAGGCAAAGTGTGAATGAAATGTGCATGAGTGTGTCTTACTCAGGGTTGCCGTTGCCCTTACACTGAAGATAAAACTTCTCCCCCTCTCTAGGCAGATCGCTCTCAGGCAGGATCTCTACATTAGGAGAATCTGTGAGTGGAAGACAAACGCAGACACACAAACACAGACACAGAGTGTAGTTACATAACACAGGACTCATAATCGTACAGACATGCACACGGCACCGACAGTCTCATTCATCCCCGTCTCAAATCTACTCCCATCTGCATCCTGTAGGCGTCACCATCTCTCTGCCTCCCACAATGACATAACCCCTTACACAACTACATCACTTTCCCTCGGCGATGCAGTGCCGCCGTCTTGCCCACAGGGTGGCAGCACCGACACAGACTCCGATGTGGCTCCATTTATAGTTTCATTTCAGATGATGACCTGCTCTTCTTATCCACAGCGACTCAACTCTGGGCAAGTGCACCAGCAGAGGAAGGTTACATTCCTGTGTGGCCATTATTACAGGTAGCTAATGAGAAATTATTGGAGCAGAGATCAAACTGCAAAGAGGGAAAAGGTGCCTCTGCTGCCTAATAAAAAGAGAAGAGCAAGGCAGAAATAAAAAAAAAGACAGCAGTCTGAGGTTTTACTTTGCATTTCCCTCTCACATCCGTGTGTCCTCTACTCTCCCTCTTCCCCCAGCATCCTCTGTGTCTCCTCTCCTCCCCACTCCACCCCATTTCCCAGTTGACTCACACAACACCCGCAGAGTGTACACGTTCCTCTTGTCCCCCGGGGCGAGAGAGGGATGGTCGACAGCGCAGGTGATGAGGGCGTTGTCGTCATCGCGGCTCACATCCAGGGTGAGCTCACTGCTCACGTTGTATGTGGGATTGTCTGGAACGGACTCCACCACGTCTGGACGTCCTGAGGTGAAGAGGGACGAGAAGGGGAGGGGACAGTCAGGAGGAGGGTGTCTGCATCTTAACCAGGGACGAGTACAATGCCAGTACAACAGATACAAAAACACACACCTCTCACGCACACTAAGGCACCGACAAAGGTTTTTTTTTACTGTAATTAGGATGTGGTGGTTTCATGTTATAGAACTGTACAGAACTGCAATGACCCCCATTTGTTCCCATTAAATGAAAAATGCCTTTGCTGTGCAGTTACCTTGTGCCCCTGGGTGTTTTGTTCTGCTATCTATCATTATGTGCCAGCCACATATACTGTATGTCTAACAATGCACTTCCTAACATTTCTAGAGCACCTTTTCTCTCACTAATAGAATCTGTTTTTTCCTGCTGACTCATTCAATGATGTACACAATTGTTTAATACACTCAAATTCATTCACAGATTTGAGGGATGACCCTAAAACTTGCCATCATATAAAATCTGCAGGTCTATCTTTGCTGTCAAGGTAACACTTCAGTGTTGAAACAGTTTGTCAGTTCGTACATCAACAGAAAATTAATCCTTTTTTTTTTTTTTTTTTTTTTTTTTTAAGAAATGATCAATCTTTTAGAGTGGAACAAGTTTTTTTTGCTTTGACTTATCATTTCGAAGTAAATGCTGATTGCACATTGTAATGGCTATAGAATAATGACACCGTCAGCATTTAGATTGGTTCTGCATAAGCCTCACTTAAGATATGCTATTGCTTCTTCTACTGGATCCGATCTCCCAGGAAAATGAAAGCTCGATTTATGGCACAAAGGAAGTGAGTCAGCCACTGCACAACAAAAACAGGAAGAGCTTCGGTAGCTATTCCCAATCACCGAGAGTATCAGTGTAGATTCTCTGCACTTACTCTCCCCTGTGGTGTAAATGGCGGACAGTGGAATGACCACAGTGACTGTGGGAACTGTGGCAGAAGCTAGGATTTGAGGAAAAAAAGAAAGTGATCCGGTTTTCTTTGTGACAGCAGCACCAACAATAATACCCCTTCGAAACACTAGGAAGTGGGAGGTGGCTGAATTATGGAGTTGAAAAGTTGTCTGTTTCCATTTTAAGTTATTAATCAAGCTAATCTGTTACTCATTACATTGGTCCCAGCCTCTGACATGTGAGCATCTGCTGCATTTCATTGTGTTATATCATACGCTGAATATCTTTGGCTTTTTGAACTGCTGGTCAGAAAAAAAAAAAGTAATTTCAAGACACCATCTCGGGCTCTGGAAAATTATGGTGGCCAATTTTTCTCTTTTTCTGATATCTCATAGCCTACGCTATTAATCCATTCTCAAAAACCTAATCTTGCGATGAATCAATGATGAAGATAACCGTTAACTGCAGCTCTAAATTTTACCCATTCTCCAAAGTGCTGTGATTGTGGTCAAATTGATTTAAATTTATGCACTTCTAAAAGGGTATATATAACAACTGCAGACTGTGTGAGAACAGCTTTGTCTGGGAACGTACATTTTTCAAATCCCTTCAGTCGTACATCCAGCCACAGCATCCTTGTTCAAGAGGAATCATGTCACAAAAATGTAAATCTCTCAGCTACTTCATGGCATCCTCAAAGCTGCAAAAGTCAATGTTGCATGTTGGCAGCTCCAAATGGCAGAGAGTTAACTGAAGAAATTCACTTCCCCTCAGTACCCAGGACTCCTGTAATGCAACATCAGTAAACCACACACAGCACGCTCATGTTTACTAACCAGGTCAGTCTGTGATGTTTAATGCTGAAGGACACCAAAGGGACGCGAGAGGCCAAAGATCTAATGTTGCTAAGTCCAGCTTTCTTTGGACTCACTTGCTCGCTGTTGCTTAGGAGACGGCTTGCATTTCCATCTCTGAAGAGGCAACTATACCCAGAAACAGACTTTTATTTTGGCAAAGAAAGATTATCTACAGCATATTAACTGCAATCTGTTGCAGCCATACTTTGTTTTTTAGTGTGATAAAGCGTGTCTGTTTTTATAATGCAAGTTTTAAGAAATTGTATGCACAGATTTTCACGCAGAGATGTTTCCACCTGATGTTGTTTCCCTCTCTATCCTTGATTTTACTTTTCTGGCAACAGCAACAGCAGTCTGTGCGGGATAAAAAAGAAAAAAGAAGAAGAACTGGGCAGGTGCAAGTAGGTCTCTGCAGCAGCAGCAGCAGCAGAGTTAGAAGAGGTATGAAAGCATAAACACAGTAGAGACTGTCATCCGGAGATCGCGCTCTATTGTAAGAAAAAATACAAAACTGGGTGGTCAGACCGTGAAAGTGGTTGGTGAATCTTGGAAAGTGGACCAGAACCTTATCACTTTCTCTTGCATGGAATGGCGCACACACTCACATGCACGCACACACAAGCATGGGCACACACAAGCATGGGCACATGTAGGTCAAGCTTATGAATAACATATACACAGAGGAGGCAGAGATAGTGGCAAGGGAGAGAGATTGGAAAACACACACTTTTTCCTCTGTCTCACTCTTCTCTCTCTCGAACACACAGATATCACACACATCCTCCCCCCATCCCCCTCCCTCTCCCTCTCCAGAGAACTCTTCAAATACCACTGAATCTAATGACATCTCTCTTTTTATTACCATAACCAGTCCTCTGACCCGCAGAGAAAATTAGTTTACTTTCCAGGTGCATTTCAATAATCCTACGCCACTCAGAGGAGTCCTTCCATCACTGTCTGCCTCCCTCTCACTATCCTCTATCTGGCTCTCTCTTCCTCTCTCTCTGCACACACAACTCAGACAGTATATAGCCTTTATTAAAGACCATGGATCTCCAAAACCAGACCTGGGAATGAAAAAATGAAAATGTTTGTTTACTCACAGACTCCTGTGTACAGTATTTTTCGAAATCATACAATTGAGTTTTAATAAGTTTTTCAGGCCCAAGGGGTCACGTAACTGACTCTACGCATTCATTAAGGAAAAAATAAGATGCAGTCAGTTTAAGTGGTTTTTCCCAAGACAGCAGTGATGCACATTTCCTCATAATTCACATTTCCTCAGTTCATTATTAGATAATCATGGTAGATTTGCATGTCAGCTGCTGCAAGCGGAGCAACAAGCATGTCGGACTGGGAAGCAGTAACAGGTTGTGTTACACACTGAATTTGGCACAAACTAACAGACTCTCCCCCTTAAAGGGCCGGTTCACCCAAATTCCAAAAATACATGTTTTAGCCATGCGGATCATTCTTGCTTTCTGTCCAGGTTTTGATATTTGACATTCCTGTGTCCACCTATATAAAATGGAGTTGAATGAAATTTCAATTGTGGCGCGCACAGCATTGAAAAGTGAATTTTCCACACACCCCAGTGTCTTACTCTGCATAATCCACAGAACAGGCTGTGAACAGTTTTTCATACTAGGGTGTATTTCTCTGGTAGAAAGGTGTTCCAATGAAACCTCTTCCCGGTGTTGGTGCTGAATTTTTTAAATTGTTATTTTTCAACGCTGTGAGCACCAAAAACAAAATTCTATTCACCACTATTGTGTTTGGGTAGAAATCTTGCAGACATGTCAAAAAACCTGGACAAATGAAAAGAAAACTATGTAAGTGAGAATATGTAATCTGGGTGAACTGGCCTTTATACTTAAAGCAGCTAGAATGATTTTCATATTGGCAGTGGCTGACAGGACTACGTGAGAGGGATCATGCGCAGTGATGAAGCAACAGAGATCATCAACTGACTCTTGAGCTTCCCTCACCTCTGTGGAGCTTTTCAGTGTCTTTCAGCTCATTATTTTGGTTTTCAGGCCCACAGCCTTACTGTTTCATTGCACTCTCACTGCTCTCATTATTTCCAGCTGCAGCAGGCAGCTGTTTTCAGCTCTGATAAACCCACTGTACCCTACCTGTCCAACAACAAACAGCTAACAGACACAGTTAGTGACTAGTTGGGGGGCATGTATGGCAGCTTGATGTTAACTGCGAAGACCAAAACAGAGCTCAAAGACAGTGGATACTGAACCAACATTCATTAGGTAGATATCTAATTAAGCATGTACCACTGCACCTCTTTTGACATATCATATTATTAAGGTGATAATATAAGTCAGTGTTGGGTGCAGCTTGTTTTTGCTGCTCCCAAGTGCCCACGAAATTAATTAGTGCAGGTTTAGTTTATGTGCAAAATATAGAAAGCTGTGCACTGACGCTAGTGAACAGGCTTGATCTCTATATACAAGCAGACTGCAGAACAGACTATGCAACAGCAAATATGATGTCGAGCTGATGGTGTAGAGGTAAAAATAAAGGTGTGAGAAATGATGGTTGTTCAGTGTTAAATATATAAAGAGAAAAAAAAGCCACAGCTCTCATCCATCAGCATAAATTAAAATCCAGACATATTTGCAGAGAAGCACAGATAATATATGCCTGCCTCTTTCAGACAGCTTACATCTGGTAAGTGTATTTAGTTTTATGTAAACCTGCTCGGGCTACTCAAGGAAAATATGTGATAATGTCTTTGACTATCACGGTGACGATATCACTTGCGATAAACAAACAGATGTTCAAGTGTACTCAATTCTTGACTCAGACTTGCACAGTACTTGTGTTTGTGCCATGCCGTCTCTCCTGTACCCAAAATATTTCCAGACGGCTGACGTGCTATTTATACCTATCTGGCATTCACACTTTTGTCTTCGCTCATCTTGTCACACTTTCCTCCACTTCCTAACCATGTAAAGTAGCGTGGCAGCAATAGTCTAATAAACTTCACTCGCAATGCATGCACATTCTGATGTATCGGATGTTGACTAATGGTGAAGGCTGTCTAATTGGCCAGGGAGTTAACAGCATGGTGCGTACCAGACAAAAAACAGCTACAGACAGAATGCAATTTGAATTGTCGCTAAATTCAAAGTGGATATCGGAGTTTCTCATGGTGTGTTTACTGATGACGATTAAAAAAATTATTGTGCAGTCCTATCTTGTCACACGTTGATACTCGTAC